ATTGATAATTACTTTACCATTTAAAGGGAAAGAAGAGGAAATGGCGTGAGGTTGCTTATTATCCCAATTTGGATAATTCTTGTTTCATCCATACGCAAATGGCATAATTGGCTCTCAAGTAAGGTTCAAGGCAAAAGTATATTTTCAAAAATTGCACATTTTAACCAAATTTGTAGGTCATAATTGTGTTGCTTGAGTCCTGAATTAATTCCATAGTCTAACCATTTAAAGAAAAAGATCCTCGGACAAAGGTATTGTCCGTGAAACACATTCAGAATTTTGTGTTCTCCCCCCCTTTCTGGTTGTTTTGAGTTTCTTTCCCCCAATAATTGGAGCCTATTTATCACTTGAAATTATAAATAATAGAAATTATTGTAAATTTTATGCTCCTCTAGTTCTTAATATAAAGCCTATTTAATTAATATGATTGAATTAAAAAAGTTAAATAAGTTAGTTCATTTGAAGCAAACAATATCACGTGAACGTTTATGCGGCAAGAGCAAGTTTTATATTGTAGCTAAGGGCAAGTATACAGTTAATATATACTCATCTCATACATTGTATATGAAAGTGTGAGATGAGTATATAAGCTGGCCCAAAAAAAAAAACAGAGAGAGATGAATTAATCCTTCTATTCTTCAAAATAATTATGATAAGGTTTTTTTTAATCATAATTCATGCACCCTTTGTGTATTTTATAAAGAATCCGATCTAACAATTTTATGTTTGAAAAATAATTTAAGAAGTCACTTGATGTGATTAGACTGTAAGAGCTTAAAGTTGCGTACATGTGACTAATACAAAACTTGTTCAGTTAAAAAAAGAAAAGATTAATGCAAAACTTGTCACAACTCGTATTATTTATATATTTATTGTATACTATTTTTACTCTTCAATTACAAAGTTAATTGGCTAATTTGAACAGATCAAAAAATTACTTAACTTAGTAATTTATAATAAATAGATGTTATCTCTCTTAAAATACTATTATTAATCATATGTATTAGCTAGAACTACTATTTGAGAAAAGCTTCAATATGTGCAACTACTACGAGAACTATCTTGAAAAAATAAATAAATATAATAGACAAAATAGATTGATATCTTATATTTAGAATCAAATTGAATATCAAACTAGCTCTTATATTAAGGATCAGAAAAAGTATTCATAAATCTATTTAACTTCACAATCACACATAATAATGCTTCCATTAATATGTGGGCTAGGTTTTCATAACAACCACATGAATTTGTCCACAAGATGTTGGATATTAATATGTATTATAGCCCAAAATCTTTGTTCTTTTTTTTTTTTTAATGAAAACTAGATTCATTAATACAAAGTGAATTGATGTCTTATATTTAGAATCAAATTAAATGTCAAATTAGTTCTTATATTAAAAATCAGAAAAAGTATTCGTAAATCTATTTAACTTCACAATCACACATGATAATGCTTACATTAATATGTGGGCTAGGTTTTCATAACAACCACATGAATTGGTTCACAAGATGTCGGATATTAATGTGTATCACGGCTGAAAATCTTTGTTTTTTAAAAAAAAAAATAAAAACTGGATTCACTAATACAAAAGTACAAATAAGCTATCAGAACTAGGTCTTGTCATCAAACTCCTCCTCCCATTATATAAAAGGTGGAAGTTGATCAAGAGTAAAAAATTACCTCCCATAGTGTGTGAAGATTTGGTTAGAAAGTCAGCCATACCTAAGTTCTCACTAAAAACATGATTAATCACATGATGTCAATCCCTACAAAAAAAAAAAAGCATCCTGCTGTCATCTGCAGCGTCTTTAAAATCACAGCCCAAAATCTAATTCTTCCTAAAAGAAGAAGGAAATCCCAAAAACCACTTTTTTTAACCAAACAAAAAAATAAGACAATGGACAATTTTTTGAACGGAGAGGGCCGTGCTGCGACGACCAGAGAAAGAATACCAAGTTCCTATAATATTTGAGAGTCACCAACAGGAGTTGGGTGCAGTGGAAAGGGCCAGTCTTCCACAACGGTTCAAATTCCCGCTGAGAGAGGTACTCATATTTAGTATCTGACAGTGTGTCAAATAGAATTGCCTTCAATAGGAGGATACCTATACTTTAGCAAAAAAAAAAAAAATATTCGAGAGTCGACGCTGCCTCGCCTCCTTCTGTTTCAAAATCTGCAATTCGAACCAGTTAGCAATGTTTGAATTCTGGTAAGTACATATTATGTGTCGGGATTAGGCATTATTCCGAAACTTTAGCTTAGCTTTCATTTGGCATGTCTTCGATTCCACCGATCCAATTAAATTTTTTGCTCTTCAATTTCAACAAGCTGCATATCATCAAACATCTACTATAGGTAATAGGCACGGTTTAGTTACAGGAGACCAGAAGAGCACAAGACTCAGCCATGTCCAAATGAACATGCCTCACAATCCTGGCATCCTTCGTCTGTTGTCAGTTCGCCAAGTTCTTCTAGACCTTCGACTCCAAGTGACGCTTCCTCAAGCAGCTACGGTTTATCGAGCCCTACTGAAATTTTGCAGTCTCCTTCACATGTTTCACCTGCTGAATCTGCTGGATTTATTTCTGTTTTGATGGACAAAAGGTAAAGTAATGTCTAAGACACCTTGCTCTGAACAGTGCAATATCACTTCCATTTTGAAGTTTGAAGAATTCATTTAATAAACAATCATTTCATTACTTGTAAAATACGCTGATTATTTATTCTTAACTTTATCACCGAGATCATTAGTTCATTCTGTACTTGTTCAAATAGTGCTGCTCCTATTTATCATTTTCACAATTTATAAATTGTTCAGTGCCGGTGAGTTGCGGAAACTTGTATCTGACAGAGAAGCATACCAGCAGTTTTTACTTTCTATTGATCAGGGCAAGATTCAAAATAATGTAAGTTTCAAGTTGTTACTCTTGCCCATGCTGGTTTGTGAACTTAGAATTGAATTCTGTCTTGCTTGGCTTGCTATATCCTTAAGTATATTTTGTCATGTTATATTAACTCCGTTTCTCCTTTGAGCTTGATATGACTATAAGTGTTGGTGTTGTGAGATCGAGGATATATTGTCAGCTAGGATACTTTCCCTTGTCATCTACATTTAATCACCGTATAATTAGAATTTGGCGGGCTAAGCGCCACTGCCATCTGCTTTTAAGCTTCCTTTTCATCATGTCTCTGCAGTTATAGTCTTGATCACTGGCTTCTAGTTTCTTGCATGAACACTGTCTGGTAAGTATTTACTTGTTAAGGACTTTAATCTTTGCGACAATGATTTCTTCATCCATTTGTATGTGGAGATTCTAAACAAAGCATCAAACTCTTGTGTTGATCGACTAGAATAGATTATGTACGTATTCAAATTATATATTTCACCACAACGTGTATAGAGTGGTTCTATTGCTATGCAATGTGGTTATGGCCCAAATTTTCCAACATTTTGCTGACTTGCCGCCTTCTCCCGGCCCCTCCGACCAACAGGCTAGGTTATGGTTAGAAGTAAGGATAGTGGTCCTTTGCTTGTGTTATGTATCAAAGAAAGGCAGAGTTCCAAGATATGCGTCTTAGTATTCCGATTTGCTAAATTGCTATACTCAAGGTGTCAATTCAAGCAATTAGCAATGATAACCTTGTACGTGTCTAGAAATGTTGAAATCTTGTTTGCTTGTTCTGTTCATGCAACAATCACAACTATACCCAATCACGCCACACAGGTGACCCCAACTTTGACAGAAAAAGAAGCTAATACCCCTTGTGACGACTGCAATACCGATAATTTGAAACCCCCACCCCCACCCCAAAAAAAAAAAAAGAAATAAAAATAAAAACCTTCCATAGAAGAGAAGAAAGGAGCAGAAAATTTCAGGCTTTGGTTTTGTTGTCTTGTTATAATGTTGTTGCATATATACAAAGTCTTCTGCAGTACTTTGTTCCTATTGCTGACTTGGAAAGCTGGAATTTCTAATTTTGTGTCTCCGACAAATTTTTGCCAAATGATATGATCAGCTGAAATATGAACTTTGCAAGGAGAATTCACAGCTTGCTGGTGTGTTATTGAATTATTTTTGTTGCGCTAACGTCTCATGACTATCAAGCAAATTAAATACCAGAAAACTTCTCAAATCCCTCTGTTCTTGAATACAGAAGAAAATCTGCAAAAGGAACCTCGTATCATGGAGCTTAGGAATCAGGTAACGCTACTCACCTATGATTTGTGTGGCTGTTTTCTGACAGTCATGTTATGGAGCTCGCTTCCTTCTACGGGAACAGTGTGCAATAATTCGTACAGCTGAGTTCACTGGTGTTCAAGAGAAAATAAATGAGCTTCACAAGCAGAAACAAGACATACTGCACACCAATTCCCCTGCATTGCTTCTCCAAAGGATTCAAGGTATGATAAGATATGATAATTTGAAGATGGCTGAATTTTATCTTTATGAAGATTAGGGCTTGAGTTCACGAATACAAAAAACTTCAAATGAATTTGCAGAGGCTATGAACAAGTCGGAAGAGTAATCTGAAAATCTGCACCAGCAACTCCTTGATAAGGACATTGACTTTGGAGCTTTTGTGAAGAAGTACAAACAGCTAAGTACCACTTACCATGGGAGAGCGCTCACGCATCTTGCTGCTATATCGTCAACTAGACAGGTGCCCACATTGGTGATACGAAAAATTTAGAAATTACCACTTACCTGGGGGATAAAGTTGCACACATACTCCTATTTTTTTATAGACGTTCACGCTTTGCTAAAGTTGGCTCTATTTGGTACCCCAATACATACAGGGATTTTCCATTTTATGTTCCAAGAAAACACGTTTAGCTGATTAGCTCATGTTCAAGTCGTTGGCACGTTCTGCTCTTTATCCACCGGTGACGATAAACAAGATCATTGTACATTCACCAACAGTAGGTTATGCTCACGTCGTTTAAGACAAAGGTAAAATCGCACTTCAAATCAAAACGAAGTCCGCAACAAAACCATTGCACAATTAACCCTGTTTACTTTAACATAGAAGTGACAACTAGTATAAAGTTTTTTCTTGTACATGCTATTAAAATTTTGTGTCCCTTGATCTTACATGATGGAGACATCCAAACTGCAACACCATCAACAAAACCGATGAAAGGATTTAACCATAGTTTGAGCTAGGCAACTGATATTTCACTCGGTTTGAGTCAACTGATAAGTTACTCGGCATGACAGTCCAACAAGATTAAACAAAATTTGATTTTCCACGAGAATCAATCAACCTGCTTAAGGCTTAACAGACTGAAAATACTGAGAGTCCTTATTCTTCTAAACGCCCAAGCTCTTTCTCCCAATTAAGGCCAAACATTTGCCTACCAAAAGGGACGATGAGATTATATCGAAAAACCTGCAGGAAGATGTCAAATTTATTAAATGAGTATCACACTTATCAAAAAGAGAATATAAAATTTCAATGAAGCAAACATTGAATTCCCTAAGCTTTTACAGAGGAAAATCATCACACACCTTATTATTGATATCACGTAATTGCGTTTTCAAAACTTCTGAACTCTCTACCCACTTAAGATTATCACTGCATTTATTTATCCAAGCTTTTTTCAATGCTGCCCTCCATTCAGATATATTAGTTCTTATTTCTTTGTTAAGCTCAACCCACTCCGGTGCACAACCATTTTTTGATAGGATTCTGTACAACGTATCTTCAGCTGGGTCTGCATGAGGATTCATGTCTAGCTTAAGTGGCTTGCCTTTCCCCGGCAAGTTTTCGAACTGTCCTTCTTCCATGGAATGCCATATTCTTTGCTCCACAACGTTGATGATATCAGTTTCTGATCTGTCCAATAATTAGCGAAGGTTTAGGCAGAAGATATGGAAAAAGAATTCACAAAGTAGTCAATCATACAATTTCAACACTACTTGCTCTATCAGCATAAGAAAGAGTCCCCAGTTCTTCTTCCTCTTCTTCCTCTCTATTATTTTATTGCAATCTATTAAAATTACGAATTGCAGAAATAGAAAGCATTAAATAGAGGAAGACTAAAAATTCCTTGAAACATCAAGGAGCTAAATCTAAAAGAAAAGCATGACACAACAAAACAGTGCACGTTTACTTGGTCTTGCATGAAACTACAGAGTAAGCTTCAAGCTACCCCTTTTTATCCCTCATCTATACAAGTTAACATCAGAAATGGGAAAGAGAATGAAACGAAACGCTAATTAACAATTAAAATATACACTTCAGCCGAGGGAACCTAGAATTACATGAAGACACACAAGCTCGCTGTTCGATGAAATTTAATAATGATAGAGTAAAACAGTCAATATAACGAGTAGCAGTAATCACCAATGCAACATTTTCAATGAGCAAAAGCATTCTGCGTTCAAGTTAATCACATAATGATAAGGTCACTAACCTACTAATAAGAAAGTACCAAACCCTATCTAGTAAGAGGAAGAATGAATAAAACTGCAAAGAAACTGATAACGAAATACGAACTAACCATGTAATTAGACAAAATCGAAACCAATCAACTTCCCTTCCAAATATCATCACTTTCATAATTAGATTTGAAAAACAGGCCATTGTTCTATAATAGTGCAATCATCGAGTATTACCTGACATTGTTGCGCTGACCTCGAAGTTCAGGAGGTAATTTGCGATCGTTAACAGCGTCAATAACAGCTGAAAGACGATCAACAAGCTTCTTTACCACCTTCGGAGATTTATCAGACGATGACGAGGGGGGCGAAGCCGATGCGGTGGAAGAGGAAAAAGAGGAAGCGCCACTATTACCAGATAGGGAAGGGACGGCCACTGGTATTACAGGAGAGGCATCGTCCACCGCCGATCGCTGCAACAGAGAGCGCAATTTCACGGATCTCCGAAGGCAGGTCGCCATGTCCGAGTGCCTTCCAAGGATCTCGGATACTCCGATCTGTTGGGTAAGGAAGAGAGAGAGAACCTTCCCATCAAGAAAGCTCTCGGCACTCCTCTCGATAACAGTTTTGGCGGCTAATTCTGATTCCACGTGGACAGTTAAAAACGCGCCAATTTTCACCCTCACCTCGAGCTGGGGCCGTTCTTATATTAGAAGCCCAAAAGGCTAGTGGGCCCAACGTCTTTACTGTCTTCTGAAATGTTCTGTTTCTATACAGACTCATGGTTGGCTCATTATATAAGCAACTGCAGAGGGACTGTTTTTGTCTTTCTCTTTTTGAAAGAAAAATAAGTTTCCAATGAATATTATCATCTCTCGGGCGTTCAATCGAGAATCTAGATTTTCTACTCTGCAAGTTTCATTAAAAAACAAGAAATCAATTTAGTGCTAGTATTTTAAACTTATTAAATTTAGATTGTTTATATATGACATGAACGATTCAGATTTAAAATTTTAAATTTTTATAAAATAAATAAAAAAATTCAAATCTGAACTGTTAAAATAAAACATGGACAATTCCTGATGAACTTAGGAGGCAACTGGGTACAAAAAAAACAATGACGTTTGAAATTTGTTTGTGCTCTTCTCCACCAGGGGTTTCCCTTCCCACTCTGTGGTCTGTAAAATCTGTGTGTTTACGATCGAATGCGAAATATGATTCCTTCCCGTTGGCTTGAGCGTAGGAAGTCGAGACAATGCTTTTCGAATTTCTTTCAGCCGTTCCTGGTACTGCTTTGTAAGGTCTAATATTAGAGATCGGATTTCCAAGAGCGGAAACACGCCTAACAAAATATAACGGAGAGATTTGTATACCTTCGAAATGAAGGGAACAGAGACAAAAGACGTCTCTGGAATGAAACATTCAATGACAATTGTGCAAGGATGAACTCTCATTTCATGTTCTCATCAAATCATAAGATGATATTGCAAATTCTGGAGAAATTAATGCGAAAAACAAGGAGAACAGAACAAATACAAAGGAAAAAAAGAAAGATGAGGGCTCGAAAAGGAAACATTAGTAACGAGGTTGTTGGGAGTCATGAGAATCAGAAGTGTCAGGTTTATCACACATTGGAGTAGTAAAGTAGAAGGGTTCGAGCACAAATTTGATGAGATCGCGATAGATGGAATTGGGATTAGTGAGCTTGAGCCCAGACCTTCCCCGACCAAAATCAGTGAGAATGTTGCATGCAGAGTCAGGGGACGACACTAATCTCACAGTGCAAAGCTTCGTATCCAACTTCTTGCCATATAAATACCTTCTCACAGTCAAATCAAATTGCCCTGTTTCATCTGTTGTGTCGCTTGTATAGTATATAACCCTGCTTCTTCTGTCCAAGCATGTCAGCGACACTTTACTTCCTGCACAGGTATAGCTCATAGCCTGTTAATTGATCGAAATTTTCGCAGATATAAATATTGTTGTCTCAGAAAGCGAGGTACCTTTGATTGGGTCGGATCCATGAATCCATTCGTTCCAGCCCTGGGAGCAGTCCTGGCACAGTACTTTGCCAGCAACGTGGATGACTCCATTTGCTTCATCCGAAGCCAAGACCATTGCCGTTGTGTGGCTCGCTGAAACTAATGCTGCAATTAACAATGCCACAGCGAGTCTCATCTTGTCTCTTTCTCTCCCTCCCTTGGCACCCGAGGACTACTGAAGCCATTGAAGCAGCCGATATATATATATATATATATATATAGAGAGAGAGAGAGAGAGAGAGAGAGCACTCGTCCATGTTTGAGCTAGGAATCGACGTGGGAGAGCACTACCGTTGACGTGCCATCCATTACTCAACTTTTTATTGCTTATTGCCTTGCTGATGCCTGATGCATCATCTCGACTTATCATAGAAGGATCTAAATCCTCTGAAGTTGACTCAATCGGTAAGTTTTTTTTTTTTGGGTGGTATGGAGGCCCAAGGCCTAAAACAAGAAAAGACAAAACCAACACAAAACTAACATCCTCAACCCTTGTCTCTCCAGATCATCTGTGCCTCTTCATCTCTTGCCACACGCACAACTTCCTGAGGAATCTCAAAGAATAATCGACATTCTCTTCCCAGGTCTTTCTCAAGACTCAACTTTGCCATAGCATCAGCACACTGGTTGCCCGATCTGCGAGTAAGAGAAAATCTAAATTGCTTGCAGCGTTCGACAGCCTCTCTCATCATCCTCACACAATTAGGCAGTTTTCCTCCTTCAATCTCCTTCCCTTTCAGAGCATAAAGAAGCTCTTCAAAGTCAGTTTCAAGATGAATTTTTTGAAAACCCAGTTTCCTCGCCACCTCTATTCCTTCACCCGCCCCCCAACATTCTGCTTCAAAGGCTGTGCTCCACCGCACATCTCTACAGTAACTCACGATCCAAGCCCCATGGTGGTCTCGAATCACCCCACCGCATCCCGCTCGTCCTGGATTTCCCCTGCTTGAACCATTCGAATTAACTTTAACCCAGTCCTTTTCAGGGGTTATCCACCTTATGCTCACCTCCTCCCCCCGTATTTCTGCTGGAATTGTTTGAAAGGATTTAGCTTTCTGTATTTCCACAGCAAAATTCCACACTTGCCAGACTCGTAAGTTTTCACGTCGACCTTCAAAGATTCGCAGATTACGCTGTTTCCAGATCTTCCAACAAGCAATACCAAAGACAAGATTCCATGGTAAGCCATTTATCAGATCTACATTTTTCAAGTTTTGCATTAGCCATTCTTTTAGATTTTGTGTAAAAAAATATGCTTGAGGTCGCTGCAATAAACACTTCCACACACTCATTGCCTTTTCACAATCACGAATCACATGCAGAGGAGTTTCCCACTGCTTGCAGGCTTCACATTCCCCTGCTGCACCCCATTTTTTGTGTCTTACACTATTAGCGTTTAATCTGCCATAGGCCAACATCCACAGAAAGCAACGAATCCTCTCAGGGCCTCTCCATTTCCAAATAATTCCCCATATTTTCTCCTTCCTCCCCAAACGATCACCCCTCACTTGACGATATCCACCTTTAACACTATAGGTCTTCGAATTATCAGAGCCCCAAAGGATTCTGTCTTCTCTTTCACCACTCTGAGGAGTGGCTTGTAGTCTTCTACAAGCCTTCTCAGTTAAAACATTCTGCAGTAAATCCCAATTCCATTGCCCATTCTCACATACCACATCAGCAACCACCCATTGAGCCTCCTCCTCTCCAATACTTCCCCTTTTCTCATTCCAAAGTAACACTTCTTGGTCTACCCATCTGTCCTTCCAGAAACTTATTCTTTCTCCCGACTCAACTCCCCACCACACCCCCTTATTCAGTTCGTCCCAGACACCACTGATATCTCTCCATAGGCTCGACAAATTTTAGGGAATTTTCAAATTATTCCCAAAATTCAAGCCCCCATTATATTTATGTTTGAGCACATCCACCCACAAACCTTCACTATTACTTCTTAATTTCCAACCCAATTTCATCAAGCAGGCACAATTCATGTCCTCCAAACATAGCACCCCCAAACCCCCATTCTCCTTTGTCTTTGAATCACATCCCAGTTAATAAGATGCATCTTCCTTTCTTCGGTGGTGTGCCCCCAAATAAAAGCCCTCTGAGCCTTCTCAATCTCCTCCATAATTTGCATAGGGAGCTTTGAAAAAATCATAGAGTAAATTGGAATGGATCCAATCACTGCCTTAGCAAGTGTTACTCTTCCGGCCATACTTAAAGAGTGCACCTTCCATCCCTGTAGCCGCCTCTTCACCTTCTCCACTAATCCTCCAAAACAGCGAACTTTGCTCCTTCCATAATACGTAGGGACACCCAAATAGGTACCTAAGTCTTCAGTCAAACAAAATCCAGCCTCTCTTACTATTTCCTCCCTTATATTAGCAGCAACATTCCTAGAAAAAACTATTGCAGACTTATTCTTATTCACTTTCTACCCAGAACAAGCACAAAATTTATTTAAACACTCCATTACTACCTTTATCTGATCTACAGAAGCTTCTCCAAACAGAATTAAATCATCAGCAAACATTAAATGAGTCACCTCAAGACCCATTCTTCCTACTCGAATAGTCTCCCAAATCCCCTTTCTGACAGCTTCTTGGATTAAATGAGTCAACTTTTCCATCATTAGCACAAAAATATAGGGAGACAAGGGGTCTCCCTGTCTGATCCCCCTAGACGGATTAAATTTTTCTTTTTTAAATTCAATTTAAGCAAAGGTGATCGATTCAATAAAGAGTTTTTGACGTGCGCTTAAAAGCCATTAAATATTTACCTCTTCTTGTAAGCCAAAAAAGGAATGATCTCCCAGGTGAACGGAATCCAAGTTAAATGAGGGCTCCCGCTCACATTAGGCATATTCCTTTTCTTGCCCTTTGTTTTTCAACACAGTTAATACAAGTATTTAAGCCCTCGTTGTTCACTTTTGTTTTACTTCTATTATCAATAATAACAACGCTGAAAAACATACTCGCCAATTACCCATATCTTCTTTCGGCAAAGAACAATGAAGCTTTTAGACAAGGACTTCGCGCTGAACCAGCCGGGAACGGTCAAGATCATCCCCGAAGAACCCGACGACTTATGGGTGGTTTACAACCTCATCGCCATTGGAGACGTCGTTACAGCCGATACGACTCGCAAAGTTCACCTGGAGGCGACCAAGAACACCGCCTCACGTGTCAAAGTCACCATTCCCGTCAAAGTCACGCGCCGCGACTTCCAGAAAGATTCTTCCACCGTTCGCGTTCAAGGCAGGAACATCGGGACGAACCAGTACGTCGCGTCAGGCTCATTCCACACCTTGACCATCGAAATGAACAAAGGCTTCGAACTCTCTAAAAAGATTTGGGATTCCACGGCTGTGGCCGCCTTATCCGAAACCTCCAAGAAATCACCAGGCGCTGACCTCGCCGTAATTCTTATACAAGAGGGTCAAACAGAGGTTTATTTGGTCGGGAACGGGCCAACCACGCTTTGTTCTAAAATCAAAGATCCAAGGACTGGAAAGAAATCAGCCAGCAACGTGTTTTTTCGAGACATCTTTAACGCCTTCGTGAAGCATGTGGATTTCAGCACCATTAAAACCGTACTGATAGCGAGTGATGGACCAACAAAGGACGAGTTTCGTCAGTTTCTGCTCTCAGAAGCGAAAAGATTGAATATGAAAACAATCGAGAACAATAAGTCGAGAATTGTAGTGGCAGGATGTAAGGGAGATCTGAAGGAGGTGCTGAGCGACAAGGGAGTGATGAATATGATAAAAGATAGCAAGGTTGTGCTGGAGATTAGAGCTTTCCAAGAGTTGTGTGACTTGCTGGACAACAATTCGGGTCGGGCATGTTATGGTACAAAGCATGTGGAGGCTGCGCAGGAGATGATGGCGATCGACACCCTTCTGATCACGGACGATCTGTATAGAAGCTCTGATGCCAAGACGAGACACAAGTATACGAATCTGGCTGAATCAGTGAGGAAGGGAGGAGGGAAAGTGCTGGTGTATACCTCCATGCATGTCTCAGCAGAACAGCTTGCCCAGCTCACGGGTGTTGCCGCAACTCTGAGGTTTCCCTTGCCCGACCTTGACGACGCGGATGTTTAAGTTCAAACAAGGCTTTCTATATATATCAGTTTATCGTGCATCTCTTAGCTTGTTGTTTATTAATCAGGAGAGGAATGGCCCTTCCTCTCATTTGTGTATATAATGATCACTGACTCTTTATGCGTTGATTCTTACATAATCTTAGATGGTGCATTGCCTATGAGCATATCCCTCAGTAACACGATTGCCAAAATGTTTCTCAATTTTCTCCGTCAGATTTTCATCCCTTTCGCCACATATCAAGTGCGATACAGTACGTCTGCAGGATCATATGAAACAAATCTCAAACCAAAATCCACATTTCACACTGTCTGTGAAATCTGATCCATCATAGTACTTAATGGAAAGTATATTGATGATTTCAATAAGTAACTAACATAAACTAAAGTGAGCCCCTCCGCATAAAATCCGAAATATACTGCACTAATCGTGGCTTACGAACAACTTGGTGTTCTATAACTTGGAAGGATGTACTTATTTCTGAAATTATAGGTAATGGAGTAACCCTACATAATGCTGTTGAACCCACATGAGCAGGGTGATGCAGTCGGACTATATATTGCTTTAAACTTTACTAGTCCAATCACTAAAAAGGACAGAACCTGCTTAAATCAACTTTTAACCCAATAAAAGATAGCTTCACCATAAATCTTCAATTGAGTAACAGATTAATCATTTTCTCAGTGAGAGTCTCGGTGATGGATTTGTTGCCAGCAAAAGACATAGGGTGCAGTGGAATATTATTTGGGACTTTGCAGCCTATTTTTGCTATCAGAAATAGGAGTATCTTCATGTGCAAAAAAAAGTATGTTCTGCACTATACATAGCTAAGGTGGCGTATGAGACATGTTCTGGGAAACTTAGTGAAATCGCATCTCTTGAACTGGCGACACTTGGGCCTTTGCCCAACAGTTTTAGTTTGATCAGGCAGAAAGTTCTTTTCTTTTTTTCTATTTTTTGGGGACTGTACAGGCAGAAAGTTCTTTAGAAGCCGCTTAATGGAAGCCACAATACACAAGCTTACCAACCCTCTGCAGATATACCTCATAATCAGGCACCTTGTATGGAAGTAACCTCATAGCTCAAATCCGCAAGTAATTTATGCAACATATACCAGCACGTACTGTTCCTTGTGCTCCCAAATACAATAGTCTTGATGTCTTGTTATATGGTACTCTCAGAGGTATATAACTAATTTTAAAAATTAGTTAAATTAGTTATTTGTAATAAATATTTGTTGTTTTTTCCCTCAAATACACCTATTAGTTATGTGTACTAGAATAAAAACTATTTAACATGTGTAATAATTATGAGAACTATTTTGTGAAAAAGTAAATAAATATGAGAGATAAAATAAATTAGAGTCTCATACTTAGAATAAAAAGTATTAGCACACAATAGTAATGCCCATATTCATTGAATTTCCAAAATGTTTAGATTCAATGAACAGAAGTATAAAACATCCTCGTTTAATATAAAAAGCTTTTTATACTTCTAAAATAGAAGAACAAATCTAGAAGATTTTCTGATTTGGTTTAGATGAATATAATATTATTTATGGTGAAATAATATTTTTTTATTATTATGAGGCAAACAACACTATTGTTTTTTAATTTAGGATTTGAAATCTTTAGATTAATTTATTTTAAATCATGGTATCCTTAAAAAAGTTTATATGAAAAATTGTATATCCTAAATTAAACAGAATAAAGAAATCATATTAAAGACACTTATGAAAATCAATATATAATAATATACATAATTTGGAATTATATACTTTATTATCAGATAAATATCATATCTTTTAATAGATAGTGATATATGGCATATGATATGTTATTTAACTTAAAACACGTGATTTTAGTTGAACTTGGACATCCATGTGCCGACCCCTATATAAAGGTGGTCAGGAACTCAGGATCCTTAGAAACACAGAGAAAGGAAAGTCGGGACAAGAGACATTTTTCTTGCATAAAGAGCTAGCAAATTGGCAAGTCTAGCTCTTTTTTTTAATCCAATAATAACAACGTTGAAAACCAATCTTGCTAGTTACCCATATCATATCTTCTTTCAGCAAAGAGAGATGAAGCTACTACACAAGGACTTCACGCTGAACCGACCAGGAACGGTCAAGATCATCCCCCAAGAACCCGATGACCTATGGGTGGTTTTCAACCTCATCGCCAAAGGAGACATCGTCACCGCCGATACGACTCGCAAAGTTCGCCTGGATCTCAACATGACGACTCCCTCACGTGTCAAAGTCACCGTCACCGTCAAAGTCACGTGCCGCGACTTCCAGAAGGATTCTTCCACCGTGTGCGTTCACGGCAGGAACATCGAGGCCAGCAAGTACGTCCCCTGCGGCTCATTCCACACCTTGACCCTCGAAATGAACAAATGCTTCGAACTCTCCAAAAAGATTTGGGATTCTACTGCTGTGGCCGTATTATACGAAACCTCCAAGAAATCCCCCGGCGCTGACCTCGCCGTGTTTCTTATACAAGAGGCTCAAGCAGAGGTTTATTTGGTCGGGAACGGGCTAACCACGCTCTGCTCTAAAATCGAAGATTCACAGACCGGAGTGAAATCAGCCAGCAACATGTTTTTCCGAGACATCTTTAACGTCTTCGTGAAGCACGTGAATTTCCGTACAATTAGAACCGTACTGATAGCGGGTGCTGGACCGACAAAAGACGAGTTTCGGAGGTTTCTGCTCTCAGAAGCGAAAAGATTGAAGATGAAAGCAATCGAGAACAATAAGCCGAGGATTGTGGTAGCAGAATGCAAGGGAGATCTGAAGAAGGTGCTGAATGAAAAGAGGGTGATGAATATGATAAAAGACAGCAATGTGGTGCTGGAGATTAGAGCTTTCCGAGAGCTGTGTGAATTGCTGGACAACAAGTCGGGTCGGGCATGTTATGGGACGGAGCATGTGGAGGCTGCGCAGGCGATGATGGCGATCGACACGCTGCTGATCACGGACGATTTGTACAGAAGCTCAGATGTGAAGACGAGACATAAGTATGCCAAGTTGGCAAAATCAGTGGGAAAGGGAGGAGGCAAAGTGCTGGTATATACCTCCATGCATGTCTCAGCAGAACAGCTTGCCCAGCTCACGGGTGTCGCAGCCATTCTGAGGTTTCCCTTGCCCGACCTTGATGGTGATGACGTGGACATTTAAGGTGAAACAAGGGTTTCTATGTCAGTTTGTCATGCAACTTCTTGTTTATTAATCAGGAAAGGAATGGCTATTCCTCTCATTTGTATACATAATTATCATAAATGATTGTTTATGTGTTGATTCTTACATAAACTAGTGCACTGCTTTACTGATAGATTTCCTACCTGATCTAGCCCTTGATGAGCATTCAGGAGTTCTCTGTTTTTGCCCCCCGAAACAATCAGTATATTCAAAATCTTCTTGTGAAGTTTAACTTTTAAAACTCACCGAACTTGCGGGTTCACAAAAAGAACTCACCGAACTTAATGGTGGCCCCAAAAAAACTGTAACACTTTTATTGCAGTAATGTGAGTAAACCAGGCGTTTATACAGCAACATGAAAGGAATCCGTGTGATATTTAAAGTAACATCAATTGAATAAAGAATGTCGAATGATAGTCGAAATGTTAAGATTCATGATTCATCGTTTTGCATCTTGATGCGCGCGGGGCAACATGATCTAAAGATACTGCTTTGTCTGTGAGCATGTACCTCAGTTGCACGAGTTGCCAAAATGTTTCTCAATTTTTTTTTCCCACCACATATCAACTTAAATACAGAACCTGCGCGCAGGATCATGTGAAACAAATCTCGAACCAAAATCAATACTCGACACTGTCTGGAAAATTTGATTTCTGAAAGTATTACTTAACGGAAAGTATATTGATTTCTGAAATTATAAGCAATTGGGTAACCCTGCATGCTGCTTTTGAACCCCAATTACGCGGTCGGATTATATTGCATTGACCTTTACTAGTTCAATCTATGATTAGAAAGGACAGAACCAGCTCACATCAATAAAAGAAAGGTTCACCGTAAGTCTCCCCATTGAGGAACAGATTAATCATTTTCTCAGGGAGGGCCGTGATGATGCGTTTGCCGACAAACAAAAGACACAGGGTGCAGTACTGGAATATTATTTGGCACTAATATAAAATTTTATAATATGATTAATAAGATGTGTAATTATTATAACTTTCAGAAAAACTAAAACTAGCATATGCTTTACATGTGCACCTAAGTATTTAAATTTTTTTTAACAAATACAATTTAAAATATATTTTATTATGAAAATTATTAAATAAATAATAATTTAAAATTTTGAAACAGAATTCAAAGTAATGAATGAATGGGAAGCGTTCGTAAAAAATTTTAAATTATATTTTTCAGTAAATTTCTCATTATTTGCATACATGATGTCACTTGTATTATTTAAATTTAAAATTTAAAAATCCTAAAAAATCATATTTTTCCACGCATGATTAATAAAAAAAAATTGTAACTTTCCAACCCAAGATAAATGATTTATATTTGAATTTATTTTTATTTTAGACTTTATACTTGGAAATAAAATTTTGAACTTTTTCTACATATTTGAAAAGGAAAAATGCTTAGGTCAAATCTCTTATATTTATTATGTCAAAATCTCTAATTACATCTAAATATATCTATCTTATTCTTTTCACGTGAGTTTATAATTAAATGATAATATTTGAAAGATAAGATGTATTATCATATAATCATTTATAATCAGAGAACTTGATGTAATACATGTAAATAACTTGATATAAGTATTGTCTTACGAAAAGCTTCCCATTCATTTGTTTATGGATTACTTTGAATTTTGTTTCAAATTTTTATATTATAATTTATTTAATAAATTTCACGATAAAAATATATTTTTAGATGGTATTTATTTAAAATTATTTAAATAATGAGGTGCGAATATAATGCATTTACTAGTTTTCTGTTAAAGTTATAATAATTACATATCTTATTGATTATATTATAAACAATTATAATAGTAATAATCACGAAAACAGAAAATATCTTATTGAAAATAAATTTAAAGTGATAATTTTGTACTCCCTCCGTTCCTTATTATAAGAGACATTTGATGCTTATAGTATGTTCCTAAATATAAGAGACACTTAAAAGTTGTCTCTACTTTT